TGTCGGTGTTCAAAGTCATTTTGCTTTCCCTCCTCCCTGTGATGTTCCCAGAGCTGCACCCGCAGGCAGCCTCACCGTCGGTACCACCCACGAAATGACAGGGAGTCACGGTGCTCTTCCCACCTGGCAGAGGGGCCAGGGAGCCCGAGGGAGTTGGTTCCTGCCCGATATTCCGGCCTGGGCTGCTGTCTGTGTGTCTGTCCGTGTGTGTGTGTGTGAGCATGCCAGGGATAACATCCCCACCAGCACAGTCAGGCCTGGCTGCTGCTACCACAGCCCAGAGCAGTGAGATCCAGGATGGGACTGGGTGGGAGGAAGGTCTCCTTCCCAGAAAGGCCAAGGGACACCGGTACCAGCTTTGTTTTTCAGGCAACGCTGCATGATACAGGAGGATGAGTCGGGGCTTGTGAGCGGGAAATACAGCTTCCTTGTGAGGGGGAGAGGAGGGGCAGGCACTGATCTCTCCTCTGTGGTGACCACTGACAGAACACGAGGGAATGGCCTGAAGTGGTGTCAGGGGAGGTTTAGGTTGGTTGTTAGAGAAAAGTTCTTCCTTCAGAGGGTGGTTGAGCACTGAACAGGTTTCCCAGGCCAGTGGTCACAGCACCAAGCCTGACAGAGCTCAAGGAGCATTTGGATGATACTCTCAGGCACATGGTGTGACTCTTGGGGGTTGGTCCTGTGCAGGACTAAGGGTTGGACTCGATGATCCTTGTGGGTCCCTTCCAAGTCAGCATATTCTCTGATCTGTGGTTCCAAAAAGGGCCAGGTTACACCAGTACCAGCTGTATTTTACAGGCAACACTGCATGATACATGAGGAAGAATTGGGTTTTGCTCATAGGAAGAAAAAAAAGTGCCAGTTAGCCTTCCCTTTAGCTGTCATTTTCATGGACAACTTCTATTTCTATGCATGATCAGGTACAGGGCAGAAAGCAAAGAAGGCTCCTTCTTGTCACTCCCAGGTTTGTTGCCCAAACCACAGGTAAGGTGACTACATGCTGTAGGTCTGTCTGTCAGTCTAACAGGTCATGATGAGGCTGATGAGTTTGATGTGCCTCAGCCACATAATTTTCACGTGGTTTTATTCATCTGCTGTTGTTTGGTATCATTGTTTATGATTTCATGCAGTAGTGCCTTTCTTGGCCAAGTAGCCAACACGTGCTAAATTAATAAAAACTTGGTATTTATTGAAAAATCGACCAGAGAATAAGCTAGAAATTAAGCGGAAGACAAAAGGAAAAGGCAGTAAGCTTTTTAGGGTATTTTTTTCCCAATTATTTAAGCACTAATACAGCTTTAGTTTCTTGCAAATATTAAACTGAATCTTTATAGAAAATCTTTGAAATCTCCCTTTATACCATGTTCTATACTACTCTGTCCTTGGTCATCTTTAAGGGCATCCAGGTGGTTCATTAACTTCCAATATGGGAAAAATTTTAAGGTTCTTTTTTTAACTAGAATTTAATTTTCTTTAACTTCCTGGGAACCTTGTTTCAATTGCTGTCACGCCGTATTGCTGTTTCTTGCCTCAAGTGATTTTTTTGCAAGTTTGACATGTTCCTCTTGCCACATTTTCTCAGTTTTACAGTACAGATGCATGAGGAAAAAAGGCTGTGCAAGTCATTTCCTCCCTAAAGTAGAGCTGAAATATCATCATTTTGGTAGGTGTAAGGGAGAGAAGAAAAAAGAAGAAAAAAAATAAAATAAAAAGCAACCTTGTTTCAGGGGGAAGAGAAGATTTGAGTGGGAGGTGAGATCAGAAGAGAGACAATGATTTCGGGAGGTCTTTGAAGAATTTATGAAAGTGTCATCAAAACCAGTCATTTTCCCAGTATTATAAAATATTATCTTGATGCTTCATTTATACCTAAAGGGCATATGCTTCACCTCTCACTATAACAAGAGCTTTATGCCAAGTCTTTCCAGACTTTCCAAGCAGCTTTTATGCCTCTCCAGTACTTCCCTAGTGCTCTGCATACCAATAATTGTCTCACAGCACTTCACAAAAAGCACAACAGACACAGAGTAGGATCAGAAAAGGTATGGGCAGTATATGCCAGTATACCTTCAACTCGAACCTTTTCTCTTCATGAGATAACACTGAGATGAGCACGGGGAGGAAAAATACTAAAAGTACTTCTAGATCCAAGAGCCAGTCCTTATTTTCTTATTTGGAAAACAACGGTTTTTATTTCATGCTGGTTTGTTTTTAAATCTGTGGGTACATTTCCTGCATCCACAAGGATACAAAGGATGAATCTAATGCAATGGCAATGTAGTGATAACAGTGATGTGACTGCCTTGCTGTATCAGGCTGGGATAGAGCTCCCACCCAGATTACCCATTAGAGAAGAGCAGACACTTGAATTATATCCATGGAAGGCCCTGGAAACATCAGTGTCATTTTTGGTGTCCAAGCAGGCAGCATTCAGGGCCAGGAGCTCCTGCTCAGCTGTTTGTCAGATTCCCACACAAAGTCCTACCAGGGCACTCAAGAAAGGTGACCTTGGTTTATGTGTTTCGCAGTGCCTGGCTAGGTAGGAGTACAAAGAATGAGTTTTGGGCAGGAGGGAAGGTGGAGGTGATTGCCATGCCCGCTGAAATCATGTTCAAAGCACGCACAAATGTATTTGGGAGATGGTTTTTAAAAAAACCTTCTCTTGGCTCAACTTAATACAGGATTTTTTTTTCATATGTAGCTGCCGCGTGTATATTGGGTTAAGTTGTTCTCAGTTCTTCTGTTAAAGACCTTCCATTTTATTTTAATAGTTTGTCACTGAGATACACTTCTACAACAGTCTGTTGGTTGGGATTCTAACCTGGTTTCCAGTCCCTGTCTCGCATCAGTCAGAGTAAAAAAAAACATGTCTCCATGTCGCTATTCCTTGCTAAAAGGGGATGACAGTGAAGTGTCCCTTCTCTTCCCCATGAGACAGGCTGGCTCGTTGTAGTTCCTGATTCCAACAGAGATTTACAGTTGCAAATCCAGACTGGAGAAAAGCTTGTTATTTAAGGTGCTGTAGAGCACTCCAGGCTCCTGCTCAGCCCTCCTTGCAGGGCTGGGTTTGCTCTGTCAGCTGTGATTTACCCAAGCACTGCCTGGGCAGCCTGGCCCATTTAATGATTCCATTCTTTAGCTAAAGGCCTCTAAGTCAGGAGTTCAGGACGCAGGAAAACTGTTAAATAAAACATAAGTGCATGCAAAAATAATCACTTAATGGACATTAGGAAAGGACAGTAAACCAAACAGTTCAGTCCGTTGGATGATGTATAACACCTAAACAAATATGACAACTAATTAAGGATTAGGTTCTGCATTTTGGATGACAGGTCTTATAAAAATGAACAGCTAGGTTATGTTGAGGGGGAAAAAAAAAAGGCTGCATTTTGCAAATGTCAGGCAGACAGCTCAGTAAGCAGAAAAACTCAGTTATCCAATTAAAATAAATGTGCAGTGTTCTCCATATAAAGAGCTAAAGCATCCTTATGTTGAGGAGTTGAGATCCTGAAATATAAGTGGAACAAAAAGCACTCTCTATAAAGATTAATGTAATCTATCAAGATTAACATTTTGCATGCTGGCAAAGGGAGATAGTAATGGGTTTCAATTCCTGAAATTGGAAACATTAGACTAAGATCAGTACCAATTTAAACCCCAGGTAACCCCAAATATTGCATTGAATTCATTATTTACAACCGCGATGGGCTAATAAACCTGCCCTGATGGCTTCTGTGGGAAATAGGTACCTACAGTAGGTGCTATCCTATTTCCCACAATCCTCCCTGGTACTTCATGTGAAATGTAATTACAAGTTGCATAAATGTAATTTAGGAAAAAGTCTTCCACCAGAAATAATTCTGATTTATTCAGGAGTTTGATTCCTGTCCTAAGAAAGATTAAGGATTGTTTGAACACTGTCATGTGCATGGGTGTCATGAGAAAGGCCACAAAGTTTCAAGGCCACAGTGGGGGACAGACTTAAACATAATTTTTTTGTTGTTGCTTTCTAATAAAAGGCAGTTATTCATAACAGTGAAAAGCAAGCAATGGGAAGGGATCAGAATAACAAACTAGAAACTGGTTTGCACTTGCTTTGTAGGAAAGAAGAAAGAGTCCACTATTTAGACCTCCAGTAGAGCATATCTCTTTTTTTAAGCCAAGATTTAAACCTGCCCTTTGATCCAGGACTCCAAAATAAGAATTTCTAAGTCTGGAAACGTGGAACCACACACAAAATTTCTAAAAGGATATTCGATTCAAGGTGTTTTCAGCAGAATTAACATGAAACATACGGATTTTCTGCTGCTTTATAAAGCAGAGAGAAGAACATTATTACCAGGAGGGAGGCTTTACCAGGGGTATTAAAATGAAATTCCAGCTTTTGAGGTGCCTGACTTATAAAATAAAATCTGTCAAATGTTGAAGTGAGAGGTGATATCTTAGCTGTGCAGTGCTTGAGAAAGCATGGGAGATCATGGCTCTAACACTCCCACTCTGTTTGATTTTGCCACCCACAGAATTGCCACCTTTTTAATGAAGTGAGCAGTTGCACTTGCAGCTCTGAGTGCCTCTGCTGTCCTCATCTTTATTCTTCTAGAAGCTCTGTTTCACATCTTCTTGGACACAACTTTTGATGTTCACCCAGAAGGGCAACGATTCAACACCCTGTTATTTGAGAAGAATAATGGCCTGGGAATACAGGCATAGTTAATTTACAGATTCAGCTGATGTGCTGTGGAACTGAGGTTTCATCACAGATTTGAAAGATCTGGAGCCCTGTTGCTCCACAGTTAAAAAGCAAACAAAGTTCTTTCAGGAAAAAAAAAATACCAAGCAAGAGAAGAAAAAATAGTTTTATCTGTGAAGCTGAAAAGCAGCTTTTATTGGCAGTTCTCATACACTAAGAATAGAGAGAGAAATATGCATGTTGCTACAGCTGGTAAATTCTGCTGGAGAGACAAGAAATTCCTGTGGGATGTCTCTAGATTCTAGTACAT